TCTACTACGCATGTGTGGGTTTCCGAAGTGCCGCAACAATGGAATTTGCTTCTGGATTCCCCGATACAGTGGCAGTTCTTTAGTATTCAAGCTTACTTGCCGCTGTATCGCTCAAGATAGTGAGGTGCTCCGACCCCAAAGGAACGTCAACTGCAGTGCATGGTAGACTTTATTTAAAGTTCTTGATGCTGCTTAATTAAGTTTTCAAGATCACGACAAGACTCCTAGGAACCTACGCTTGAACAGAGCAACGCAAAGAATCTAATCGACGCACTGGCCATTTCTTGACCAGCGCTTACAAGCTGGCACACTCAAACCTAGGGCGCGCTAAGCTTGAGGCTCAGAAACGTGCTCTGGTTGTAAAGGAGGTTCAAACAGCTAGCAACACACTGGACCTCAGAGTGCAAGACCGAATTCGACAGCCAAAGTTGTATGTATTTCAGAATAAGCTATGTACAGGACCTATGCTAGCACTCGACTGGCTCCGAGAAGCCGAGCCAAGGCGGGTGGAGAAAGAGCCAAGGTGCGTGCCGAGATGGAATTCAGGACGGGCGAGCTGTGCGTCGAGCTTTTAAAACGCGGCGCGCATGTTCCTCTCAAAGTTGTTGTTGTTGAAGGGGCAGTTGGCGCTGCCAAAGTCGGCGCGGTTGAGGGCGCCCTGGACGGTGGTGTCCATCCTGTCCCAGTCCCAGATCCAGTAGGTGCGGCCGGGCGACGTCTTGAACTGCAGCTCATGGTTCTTGCCGAGGCTGGTGAAGTACTCGACATGGAGGTTGTTGCCGTTGCGCTGGGGGTTGTTGACCTTCTTGTAGTTGCCGTGGCCCGAGGCGGCGCCGCGCAGGATGCCGGCCTGGTTTGCGTTGTTCGAGTTGAACCAGATGACGACGTTCTCCCAGTCGTGGCGGTGGCCACTGACGAGGTTGCCGTCGGCGGGCTGGTCCTTGGGCCAGTACCAGGCGTACATGATACCAAACTGGCCGTTCAGGGTCATAGAGCGGGCGTACGTCTGGCCCTTGCTGGTGTCCTTGCAGCCGCCAGCGGTGGTACCGCTGTCCTGGAGACCGGCGCTGCAGAACAAGTGTTAGCCAAGTGTTTCGTGGAAGCTCAAGGGTGTGTTGCGTGTCTTACTTGACCTCACCGCGGGTGTTAACAGAGGAGTAAGGCTGGCAACCGTGGGCAATGTGAAGCAGAGGCTGGAACTTCCTGATCATGTTGCCGTTGGGTCCCAGAGTATCGCGGATGGGGTTGATGCTGTCGTGGTTAACCTTGGGAGGCTGCTGAGCCAAGGCGCTGCCGACGAGGGCGAACACCGAGAAGATCGTGGAGGGAAGCATCGTAGCAGGTGCAAATGGCTGTTTAGACAATGAGGGAGAGAGGGAGTGAGACTAGGTGATGAGGATGAAGGGGGACGAAATGAGTTGAAGTGCGATGATCATCCTTCTTATATACTTTGATCAAGTCCGGAGATGTATTTGCCTTGGTCTCCCATCGACCACCCTCCACCCTCCAACGGACAGACCGGCTTGTTGACACACTGGGCTTCCGGCTTCATTCTGTCGTGATTGTCATGTTGGCTGTGGTGTCTAGATGCAGATGGCAGGGGCCCTTGAGGCCTACGACTCATGCCGAGCTCGGTCGACGGGAATCCTTAACGATGCGAACACGAACATCGTGAGGCTAGCCGCTAAGGTAGGCTTAGCTGTACCCTCTACCCCGGCACATACATTGCTGCGGAACGGCTCCGCCGCCAAGGTGGACATGAATAACACTCTGGTTATGGCCGTCGTCACATGCATGACGAGACTACCTTGCCTCATTGAGTAAAGGGCGTGGCTCAAAGACCCTGGAATAGCCCAGTGAATTGTCTGAGCGCACTCCCAAAAGATCAAATCGTCGTCTTGGCCGGACAGCCCGAACTTGGCTGACAGGTACTCTATTCGACAAATCTCCACCCCAGTGAGCTCGCCTTGGCGAAGTGCTGTGCAGCCGGCGGCCCATGGCTCGGCACTCATTCATGCGAGGACGCAAGGACCGTGATCGTGGACGGTGCTGAGTCGTGACTGGGCAGGTGGGCAAGGGTAGAGGAGCCGGTTAATCTATTATACTTTGGTTCATCTGTTCCACCTGGGCCTTTTGGGTACACTGCTGGCGCCCATAGAGGTTGCTGTCGAGTCATGGATAGCAAGGCCGGACCCCCAACACATCAGAGTAAGCCCGATTCGGACCCCTGAGACTGAATCGAGTCGGCACGGACCGAGACTATACCGGAGAAAGAAGGCGTAGCCATGTCCGACCACTCAGAAAGCCGGGCTGTCGCACATTCTGGTGATACGGGGGCTGATAAAAAAGCGGCGGTGATAGGGCGTGCGGATCTATAGCCACAATGGGAGCAGAACATGCCCGGGACTCCATGTTAGGCGCGCATCTGTACCAGGGTCTACTTGGTGCGCTTGTGGGGTTGCGATTCAGGGCCTGATGAACACGGCATGATGTTTTGGTCTGATCATCCGGCCGGTTCGTTCGGTTATTTGTGGTGGTGTTCTTGGTGAGAACTGAGCAGAACAGCTGAGCTTCAAGCACTGTCTGAATCCTGTGCCCCCGAACTCGTGGGGAGCCTGTCGACGAGAGTTGGCGTCGACTATACGTTTCTATCGAGCGTCATGCAGACCACAACTATGATGCCCTTTCAGAAGCCACGCGGAGGGCATTCCGTCTCTCATTGGCAACCAAAGTGTTTCCACAATTCTTCTTGAGATGGGATGCGAACCTCTATGGTCACGGCCCAACGGCACGTTGCTGCACTCCGTCGATTCCGGTTGCAGCCACCTTGATTTACGAAAGTATTTGGAAACGAGCTGGCATAAAGTCTTCCGTAAGTCGATTGTCTGTTTCTCGAGGTTGTTTGGCATGCAGGACCAGCTGACCATGATACGAAGCTTCGTTATACACATGTGAGCAACTAGACAGGGACGAATCGGAATAAAAGTAACCGCTTGTAACCGTCAGTGTGATTAAACGACCTTGGAATCGGTTCGCTGGTTTGAGGTTGAAGACAAGGCGTTTATGCCGCTGGGCTTGGCACGGCAACTCGGAGCCGGAAACGATTCCATGGGTAATCCTACCTTGCCTTTTCTTGACAAGTAAAGGATCCCAAATAAGAGAACGCACGGCAACAAGCTTGCGATAAAGTTGAGCCGGCTTTCGAAACTGCAAGGATTTCCCCTTCATTCCTAGTATTTGAGAAACAAACCCTCTTCAGCTTGATTGCTGCGGGTAGTTGATCTCACGTCGATGCTTACGCCGATGATTCCGAGCATGTGGCTTTTGCGGCCCTTCTCGAGTTGCCTTGATGCCGCTGACTACCTACCTACTGGTGAATGCCAAGAGCAGGCCTCAGCCGGCTAGTAAAGCGTTGGCAGGGGCCTTGAGTCGAGATGTGCGCCATGAATCCACCGGCAATGCAGCAGCCCAATCCAAAGTCCCCGACGGGGGATTGCAGTGTATTTTCAATTAGCTTGGCTCCTCATTAGAGTTCATGAACATTCGTAACTTCGTCTGATGGTATCATATCGCCAACGCCGAACCCAAGCCCACGTTAGTCCTCCCCAGGCCCTCCTCGCCGACCCAAAACAGCGCCGACAGCTAGAGTCTCGACGCGACCAGCGTAGAGTCTCATGGAGTGCGCCACGGGGTCCCCCCAGACAACACTCCTCAGCTGCTCGTCCGTCGTGATGTGCGCGACGACGCCCTCGTCCAGTCTCGCCTCGACGCTTCTCCTCGTGCCCTCTGCCTCGGGCCGTCCGCTGCGTAGGACGACAATGCGGCCGGGAACGCTCAAGGTGCTTGTCGGCACGGGCCAGACAGGTCGTCTGCGTCTCCTCTTGGGCTTCTCGTCTCTGGACGCCGCTTTCGGTCCCAGCCCGATGAGCTGCGCCATCGACTTTTTCTCTCGCGCCTTTCTGTCGTCTCTCTCTCTCCTCTCGTCTCTCTCTCTCCTCTCGTCTCTCTCCCTCTTGTCCTGTCGTTCTCTCCTGGCTTCTCTATCCCTCTTGTCATCCCGTCGATCCTCGCCCCTCTTCTCCTCCGACCTCTCGCGTCTCTCCACGACCGGGAACCGGACTCGCCATCAGCTCAACCAGCTCCTGA